CCTCCGGTTCAGGATTTTCAGACGGTTGTCTTCCAACGGGGCACTTCCCTCAGTGACAAACTAACTCCTTGCGTTAGGGGCCCACGAGGAGAGAGTTTGGAGGGCGGGTGTGCTGCAGCATCGTTGATGGGTCTTGGGGTTCCACCGACCTCGGAGGAGGGGGGGCGCGCGCGCGCGTACGAGGACGTGCAGCGCATACTGTACGCCAAGGCGCCGAGACGCGCGCCCCGCCCCGCGAGTGGCAGCAGAGCCCTGACGCCCGTCCTTGCGTCGTGGAAAGATCACGGCGGGGGTCTTTGGCGGTTTTCGCCCTCTGTCCGAGGCGGGAATTTATACATGACCACTGCCTGGAGGGTCAGTTTTCGGAGCTTCGGCAGGCGGTGGATATGGACATATTCGGGCCCCGGGGGCCGAAATATATCCATATCCACCGCCGGCTAGGGCACCAGGACGTCGGTTCCCAGGCGGTGGATATGGATAAATCCTTGCCTCGCACTCTGGAGGCCTGGAAGCCCCTGCCGAGCCCAAAGACAGTGAGACACCGGCTCAGGACGAAAAGCCGGTCCCCCGGAGGGGTTGGGATCTGTGTCGGCTTGGCGCCAGAGTGACCCTCGGCTGGAGTTGCCTTGTTGGTGCGGGCTCACAGGGCTCCCTCCTCGAAAGTCGCGCACGGGAGGCCATGCCTACTCGGGGTCGTTCTTGCGTGAAGTCGATTCTGGGGAACCACGTTGCAAATATCACGACGTCGGGTGACCGCCCAAGATATCGGGCAGGGGGGGACCGAGGCTTGCTGCGTGCAGCTGGTCCGTGGTCCCGCCGCCGGGCCCTTTCCTCGATGCAGCGGCGCCGCTGGAGCGGGGAGGCGCTGGGAAAGCCAGGAGCGCGTGATGATTCGCCAACCCCTCGTCTGCGATCCCCCCCTCGTCCGCACCGAGAATAGGGCCCCAGCAGGTGGGGTCGAACAATCGCGGCGCGTCGCCGATGCAGTGGCGTTGCGGCACGATCCATAGCAGGACTTGTTCCATCCCGACGTCGTTGGCACATCGTGGATGCCGTTTGGGCGGCCTCCAAGAATTCCTTAAACATTGACTCCCGGAGGTCCGCGCGGATTTTGCGGGTCGGTGTTGGTCCTTTTGGCGTTTTTTTTCGGAGCTCAGCGATGAGCGTAATTCTTCAAGCTTCGCGCATCCCCAGCAGCCCATTCGAAAACCTTGCCCATAAGAGTTGACGGGGGAGCGCACGAAGAGACACATGTACTGAAACAAAGTGGACAACCAGGGTGAACAGAGAGATCTCTGGGAGCAATGGGGGTGACCTTGGAGGGCCTCTTCAGGCCATCGCTGGTACCCGCGTGGGAGCGAGGGGAGGAGGAGGAGGAGGAGGAGGAGGAGGAGGAGGAGGAGGAGGAGGAGGTCGACGACGACGACCACGACGACGAGGAGGAAAAGGAAAAGAAAGACAATGAGGGCAAGGACGAGGACGAGGATCAGGACGAGGAGAAGGAGGAGGACAACGAGGACGAGGACAGATCCTTCAAAATCGCCCCATGGAGGCCTCTTGGGACTCTTCTGGAGGATCCTGGGGTCCTCTTGGGGCTCTGTTGGGGGGGGGGGCCGTGGGCCCTCTTGGGGCCCTCTTGGAGCCCTTTTGAGGGTCCCGTGGGAGCCCTGGAGGGCCTGCGTATTGGAGCCATCTTGGAGGCCATCGATCAAAGGGAGGGGTCCCAACTTATTGTCCCCCCCTGGGGCCATCAGAGTCGCCCCTCGTGGCCCTCGGGGGCCGCTCCGTGGCCGCTCTTGGGGCCGTCCTGGGGGCTTCTTGCGCCCCAGTGGGGCCGCTACTCCAGATTTCGTAATAAAGGGAGGGGGGTTCCATTTCGGGGGGGGTCTCTTCCAGGCTATCTTGGAGGGCCTGGGGGGTCTGGGACGATGTTTTGGAGGGTTCTCCAGCGGGGGAGGTCTGAAATGGCTTGTCTTGGAGGGTTCAGACCCCCTCCCTTTGTATTACGAATCTGGAGTACTCTTGGGTCATCTTGGGGCCATCTTGAGGCCTCAACAGCGCATCGGAAGTGGAAAGGCGAGAAGTCAAAAATCAGTGATCTGCCTATGGCGTTTGAAAGATGTTGGCCTCTTGGGGGGGGGTCTGAGGGGCTCCGAGAGCACTTGGAACCGTCCTGCGACCCTCGTCGGGCCTCGTGGAGGCATATCGGAGGCTGTCTTCAACCATCGTCGGCTATATTGAGCCATCTTGGAGGCCGTCTTGGAGCATTGGAGGCCATCTTGGAGCATCGGAGGCACTCTGGGAGCCATATTGGGCCATCTTGGGCGCTCTGACCGATCGCCCCCACCACCACCCCAAAAGAAGGGAGGGGAGGGGGAGGGCACTCCTCCCCTCCCCGATGAGAAGAGGGCTTCTGGACGAGGAAAGAAAAAAACTCACCGCCTTAGCCCAAAGGGCTGGGAGGATGCACAATATCCATGCCCTCGCAGTCTGGGCACCAAGGCGAGATCCCATGGGCACGCGATCATTTTCGGAGGTCCGCGCGGATCTCTTAGGACGGCTCTGGGTCTTCCTCTTTGGGCGCCTTCCGCGCGCCAAGGAATGGTGTGGGTGCGTGTGTGTGTGTTGTGTGCTGTGTGCTGTGTGCTGTGTGCTGTGTGCTGTGTGCTGTGTGCTGTGTGCTGTGTGCTGTGTGCTGTGTGTTGTGTGCTGTGTGCTGTGTGCTGTGTGCTGTGTGCTGTGTGCTGTGTGTTGTGTGTTGTGTGTTGTGTGCTGTGAGCTGTGTGCTGTGTGCTGTGTGTTGTGTGCTGTGTGCTGTGTTCTGTGTCTGTGTCTGTGTGTGAATTATGTGTGTTCCTCCTGACTATTATCGGGGAGAGAGGGGGCGGGGAAGGGGGGGGGGCAACAGGGGTGGATGGCACGTAGTCGTCTGGGAGCCTCGTGGCACTCATGGGCGATCGGAGGCCCTTGAGATGCGGGCGTCGCAGACATGGGCGAGCACATGCTCAGCGCTGTCGGGGGTCAGCTGGTTTCCGGGCTTGGGGGCCGCGTGGGGCCGATGTGGTGCTCTTTTTGCCGCCGACCCGGTTTTGGGGGAGTTGCTTCGCGGCCGGCCCGAGTACGCAAGAGTGACTCCAAACAAGAGTGACCTTTGGTGCGCCACTTTTCGGGGGCCGCGGGGAGGCCAAACCCGAGCGCGCAATGCGCTGCTGTCGCATCGCGTTCCGTCTTCTAGGGACCCCAGCGCGCCCGCACAACAGTTGTTCCGGCGAAAGGTCACACTTACGTGTAGCCAGCTGATCCGGGTTGGCGCTGACCTAGGTCAGCGCGTCTTTGATCGGAAATGTTGAGGGTGTTTTTATTGACTATTTCTCAGGTTTTCGAATACCTTTCCAGAGAGTTGAGCTTCTTTGTTTGAGCTGTGTGGAGACCCTGAGGTGCTCTCGAGGGTCTTCGGAGGTCTTTCGGGGTTCTTGAAGCCTCTGGAGGCTTCTGGAGGCCCTGCAGGTTTCCATATGTTTAGAAGCTGTTTTCTGCGGCTTCACTAAATCTATGGAGGCTCTCGGATCCATGGTGGGTTACGTGCCCCGTTGCTTAGAGTCAGGCTGGGGGACCTATGCGTTGCCGAGGCTCGCCGTGGCTGGAGAGGCCCTCTCGGTGTTGACTTGGAGCAGTTCGTGCTAGCACGGCGTATACCGGGACCACATGCGCACCGTCAACGATAATGGGCGGTTTGGCATTGCACGCGGTGTGGAACCAGGGGATGTGGTACCCCCCCGTGTTGGTGACTGTTGCTTTGGAAGCTTACGTGCGCGATTTCAGTCTGGGTTCGTCGGGGTGCGGCATATCATTCGATCTCGGTATGAAGTGGTTTGAGCAACATCGGTTGCGCTGATGATGCTTTGCTGTAAGCCGAGCTCCGCGGAGGAAGTCGTGCGCATGCAGGAATTACTCGTGCAGGAATTCCGCAGGCGAGGAATGCCGCTCAATGACATTCAAACCATGATCGTGACCAGCAACGTAGTTGTGTCAAAAGCCGATGATATAACATGTTTCGATTATAGCGCGGGGAACACTTGAAGGCCATGCCCGACATTAATGCCCACTAATGTACGTATGGCGATTCACGTCATAGTGTTCTGGTGAACTACCAGGTAGAGCTTTTTGCATATTCCACTCAAGTCAAATTTGCAATTGAACAAGCTAAGTTTTCGAAGCTCCGCTGCTAACTGCTCAATGAAGTCATGGTGCCCATTACCATGGACAACACTTCTCGCCAAGCAGTGCTGCGCTTTAAATGCATCTATGCGAAAACAACTATTACGCTGGAGCGTTGGCTTCAACGTGCTTCCCACAGTCATGTGAGCACTCGGGAAGGCAACGCGATAGGAAGGTGCATCACACTATGCCTATACTCTCAGTGCCAGAATGTATGAAATGCTAGATGGCGCGCGGCGGCGATCGGCAACCAATGCCGTAAAGTACCCCAACAGTCGGCCACATGGTGGTCTCTTGTGGAAAATTGGTGAAGCCAATCGGAAGCGAGGCTGTCCCATATCCCGTTGCCGACAATACGATGGGGTTCTCGCCCCGTACGGCACAGCGCAACTTTTTTGGTCGATGCTCAACAGCTTACAGCGATTCGGGTGTTGATGGCGATGACAATGACAACGACGACAGCGATATGAGCCAATACTATGATGATGACGACAGTGATCCAATATCTTGGCAGATGCGGGCTGGCGGCCCCGTCGCTCGTCGTTCCGCGATGACGATGCTCATGATGGCGCTAATGATGGTGATGATGACAAGAATAGATAATGGTGGTGGTGATGGTGATGATGACGGTGGTGATGGTGATGGTGATGTGACGACGGCGAGAATGGTGATGATGACGATGATGGCGGTGGTGGTGATGCTGATGATGAGGAGGAGGACGGCAGGGGGACGAGGAGTATGAAGGAACGGCGGAGCGGTGCCAAGCAGACACGTCGATTGAGTGCTATATGCGCCGGTCCAAGGACGAGGAGGACGATGACCTGGCGGCCTGAGCAGCGACGCACTGGCGGGCAGTCGTAATTCTCGAAAACGCCTGATGCGAGTCACCGCCGCCCCCAGGCCTTTTTGAGACGCTTGTGCGACCAAAGATGTGTCCAGTCGGGGTGGGGTTATCGCCGTCACAGTCGGCCTCTTCGTTCTCTATGTCCTTATATTGGTATCGATGTGCATGGATCTTCGATACCGAGTCGAGTCGTGGAAGAGCGCGTTCTGCGGTCGCTTGAGGGAAGGGGGGGTTCAAACCAGCCTTCTCCCCCGCGCTGGCGAACGACGAGGACGACGACGACGACGACAACGACAACAATGACAACCACCTTGCGAATTTGTGGTCCCAACAGCAGTTTTGACCTTCAGTTATCTCTCTTCCGTTGTGCCCGCCCGCTAAGTCTATGAACCAACCCTTTTGGGGGGGATTTTCTTTTTATACCAATTCCTGCGAGAAGCATTCTGCAGTGCACTCTGTATGCGCACCGCGCCGCCATGGCCGTTATACGAGCTAACACCCCCACGGGCAATTGACCAATTTGATTGAATTGCGAGGAAATCTCGGACGAGAGCGCCGTTCCTCAGTTTCGGAGCCTCTATGGCCAAGGCGTCTCGGAGAACATTGTGAGGAAGTGTCGAGCTGGAGTCGTTGTCGTCGCAGGTGGGCCGTGCCGTATTTTATTGAATGACGAGGAAGTGTCGGGCCAGAGCGCCGTTCGTTCCTCAGTTTGGGGGCCTCTCAGGCGAGAGCGCCTCTAAGTAAGTTGATATGAAGTATCGAGTGGGAGCCGTTGTCGTAGCTGGGGCCATTACCAAATATATTGCATTGCGTGGAAGTCTCGAGCGAGAGCGCCGTTCCTGTGGTTTGGGCCTCTCTGACCCAGACTTCCTGGAGTCCATTGTGAGGACGTATCCAGCAGAAGGTGTTGTCGTCGCAGTTGGGCCTTCTTCGGCTTGACTGAAGTGCGAGGACGTCTCGGGCGAGAGCGCCGTTCCTGAGTTTGGGGGCCTCTATGGCCAGGGCGTCTCGAAGTAGATTTGTGAGGGAGTATCGAGAGGGAGCCGTTGTCGTCGTAGCTGGGGCTTGAACAACTGACATTTGGAATCAAGCCCGCGCTCGAGGGGGAACCTTGCTTTCAGAGAGAATGTTGATGGCGTCAAAGCGGGAGCGTCCGGAACCGTTTCCAGCGATCAAGAACAATTATCCAGTTGCTTCCAGTAATTCCGCCACCGTGCCAGTGCAGCATTCTGGGTGGCAGCTACTCGCGAAGGCAAGGGGGCTTGCTGGTGGCCTTGGGGCAGAAGGCTCGAATTCTGGGTTCGCGTTCCCACTCTTGGGCTTTGAGCCGTCTTGGGCCATCTTGGAGCCGTCTTGGGCCATCTTGGAGGCTTCGTGGGCGGACTGGACTTGAACGTTTCTTGGGCCTTCTTGGGCCGTCTTGGAGACCATCTTGGACCCTCTTGGACCGTCTTGGACTGGAGGCAATATTGGACCACCTAGGGCGAACTTGGAGGCCTTGGGGGCCGTCTTGGAGGCTTTTTGGGCCGTCAGGAGGTCATCTGGGAAGCCTTCGGGGCCATCTTGGGGCGATCTCGGAGGCCTCTTGGGCCGTCTTGGGCTGTCAGAAGGCCGAAAAGAAGCAAGTACCAGAGTCCTTCAAAAGCCAAAGGAAAATGCATGATGTTGGCCTCTTCGGGCCCTCCTGGAGGACCCCTTGGAAGCCTCTTGGGAGCCTCTTGGGCCGTCTCGGGCCATCTTGGAGGCTTCGTGGGCGGACTCGGAGGCATCTTGGAGCCATCTTTGGCCGTCTAGGTGGCTTCTTCGGCGGACTTGGAGGCAACTTGGACCCTCTTGGGCCATCCTGGAGATTTTTGTTGGAAGCCATCTTGGGCCAACTTAGAAGCCATCTTGAGCCGTCTTGGAGATTTTTATTGTGCACGTTGAGGTCGTTTGTGCGGCCTTCTGGGTGGCCGGCGGGACGGTCCGAAGTCCCAGGAAGTTCTTTTAGGAAAAAGCCAAAGCCAAACCGTATGGTGTTCAGCACCCCGGGCATCTTTGTAGCAAAACCACAGGGGGCGGCGGATCGAAGACGCCTGCGGCGAATCACCGCCGTCCCCTGCCTTTTTGGAAGAGCCTATGTGGCCGAACGTTGAGGCCAGACCTGCCAAGCTATCGGACCATGTGTTCCCCCAATCGGTTTGGAAAGCCTTCGGGGAACACGTGAGCATCTTGAAGGTCATCTTGGCCGTCTGGAGGCCATTTTGACCCTTTCGGGCCTTTTCAGAGAACGTCTTGGAGGGCTCTTCGGCCGTATTGGAGGCCATCTTGAGCGTCCTGGAGACCTCTTGGGCCGTCTTGGGGGCCTCTTGAGGCCGTGTCTTGGGCCTCTTGGGCGATCTTTGGGGGCACGTGGGCCGTATCGGGCCGTCGGAAGGCAGGAAAAATGCAAATGCCACAATCCTTCAAAAACCCATCCATGGGAAATCATTGATTTGAGCCTTTTCGGGCCTTCCTGGAGGCCCTCTTGGAGGCCTCTTGGGCCGTCTTGGGCCATCTTAGGGCCATGTTCGGCCGTCTTGGTGGGCTCCTGGTCCGTCTGACGCCGTCGGAAGCCGTTTGGGGGGCCTCTATGGGCCGACTTGGGGCCCTCTTGGAATGCTCCAGGGCCGTCTTGGAGGCCATCTTGGGCATCTTAAAGGCCTCCTGGGCCGTCTTGGGGGCCTTTGGGGGCCGTCTTGGGGCCCTCTTGGGCCGTTCTGGGGCCATCTTGGAGGCCTCTTGGGCGATCTTTCTGCGATCTTTGGGGGCTCTTGGGCCGTCTCAGGCCGTCGGAAGGCCGAAAAGAAGCAAATGTCAAATCCCTCAAAAGCCATAGGAACATCAATGTTGTTGGCCTCTTCTGGCCTTCCTGGAGGCCCTCTTGGGGGCCTCTTGGGCCGTCTTGGGCCAGCTTCGAGCCAACTTCGGCCATCTTGGTGGGTTCCTGGCACGTCTGACGCCGTCGGGAGCCGTCTTGGGGGCCGACTTGGGGCCCTCTTGGGGCGCTTCGAGGCCGTCTTGGAGGCCATCTTGGGCATCTTGGAGGCCATCTTGGGCGTGTTGGAGGCCTCTTGGGGCCCTCTTGGGGCCGTCTTGGAGGCCACTTGGGCAGTCATGTGGCCCTCTTGGGGGCCTCTTGGGCGATCTTGGGGGCCTCTTGGGCCGTCTTGAGCCGTCTTGGGCCGTCGGAAAGCCGAAAAGGCGCAAATGCCACAATCCTTCAAAAATTTCAGGAAAATCAATGATTGTGGCCTCTTCGGGCCCTCTGGAGGACGTCTTGGAGGGCTCTTGGGCCATCTTGGAGGCCTCTTGCGGGCCTTTTGGGTCGTCTTGGACCATATTGAGGCCATCTTGGGCCGTCTTGGAGGCATCTTGGGGGCATCTTAGCCGTCTTGGAGGCCATCTTGGGGCGTCTTGGAGACGTCTTGGAGACCACCCTGGGCCATCTTGGCCGTCTTGGACGCCATCTTGGGCCAATTGGAGGAAACAGAGGCAAGACGGATGCGTTTTGAGATCCTTTCCGGGTGGCTTGCGGGACGGGTCGAAGCCCCCGGGTGAGTTCTTGTGGAAAAAGAATCGAAACCGAGAACCATACAGTTTGGCACGCGAGGCACCCCTTTGATAAATCAAAAGGGGGCGGCGGATCTAAGACGCCTACGGCGAATCACCGCCGCCCCCTGCCTTTGTGGAAGCGCCTATGTGGCCGAACGTGGAGGCCAGACCTGCCAAGCCATCGGACCATGTGTTCCCCGAATCGGTTTGGAAAGCCTTCGCGGAACGCGTGGGCACCTTGAAGGTCATCTTGGCCGTCTTGGAGGCCTCTTGGGCGATCTTTCGGCGATCTTTGGGGGCTCTTGGGCCGTCTCGGGCCGTCGGAAGGCCGAAAAGAAGGAAATGTCAAAATCCGTCAAAAACCTCGGGGAAAATCTATGTGTTTGGCATCTTCTGGCCTTCCGGAGGCCCTGTTGGAGGCCTCGTGGGCCCTTTTGGGCCAGCTTCGAGCCAACTTCAGCCATCTTGGTGGGTTCCTGGCACGTCTGACGCCGTCGGGAGCCGTCTTGGGGGCCTTTCTGGGCCCACGGGGGACCCTCTTGGGGCGCTTCGGGGCCGTCTTGAGGCCATCTTGGGCGTCTTGGAGGCCATCTTGGGCGTGTTGGAGGCCTCTTGGGCCGTCTTGGGGCCCTCTTGGGGCCATCTTGGAGGCCACTTGGGCCCTCTTGGGGGCCTCTTCGGCGATCTTGGGGGCCTCTTGGGCCGTCTTGGGCAGTCGGAATGCCGAGAAAAAGCACATTCCAAAATCCTTCAAAAACCAAAGGAAAATCAATGATTTTGGCCTCTTCGGGCCCTCTTGGAGGACCTCTTGGAGGCCTCTTGGGCCGTCTGGGAGGCCTCTGGGGGGCCTCTTGGGCCGTCTTGGACTCTCTTGGGCCGTCTTGGACTCTCTTGGGCCGTCTTGGACCATCTTGGAGGCCATCTTTGGCCATCTTGGCCACCAAGCCATCGGACCATGTGTTCCCCGAATCGGTTTGGGAAGCCTTCGGGGAACACGTGGGCGTCTTGAAGGTCATTTTGGCCGTCTTGGAGGCCTCTTGGGCAATCTTTAGGGGATCTCTGGGGGCTCTTCGGCCGTCTCGTGCCGTCGGAAGGCCGAAAAGAAGGAAATGTCAAAACCGCAGGAAAATTAATGTGTTTAGCCTCTTCTGGTCTTCCTGGAGGTCCTCTTGGGGGCCTCTTGGGCCCGTTTGGGCCGGCTTCGAGCCAACTTCGGCCATCTTGGTGGGTTCCTGGCACGCCTGACGCCGTCGGGAGCCGTCTGGGGAGCCTTTCTGGGCCAACGGGGGACCCTCTTGGGGTGCTTCGGGGCCGTCTTGGAGGCCATCTTGGGCGTCTTGGAGGCCATCTTGGGCGTGTTGGAGGCCTCTTGGGCCGTCTTGGGGCCCTCTTGGGGCCATCTTGGAGGCCACTTGGGCCGTCATGGGGCCCTCTTGGGGGCCTCTTCGGCGATCT